AAAAAACCACTTTTCGTGCCCGGAATCAAGAAATCAGTTGTAAACAATGATTTTATATTTATTTATCTTATATATGTAGCTAATAAAATTAGCAAATACCTACATTTCTGAACCTTTTGTGCTATTTTCCATTTCTGTATTTTACAAAATTTGCTATCGGATGTAAACAAACAACAGCTGTTATTTGAAATTGACTTCTTGCACATTTCTGCCCAGAAAGAAAGTCCGGGCTGTTTCGGGCACGAAGAAGAAGACATTTACGATCCAAAAGTGGAAGGTATGCGCTCTCTATTACCCATTTTTCTAGCGTGAGGAAAGCTTTCTGGACAGTTTGGGCACCCGCGGGTAGCGGCCCGCGGGCCCGTGTGGAAAAAACCTAATATTTAATCGTGTATAATTTTGCTACACTTTAAACACTTTCTACTTTTTAATCGATAGCGATTATGCTGGCGAAGGAGTCACTATATTGGCTACGACTTCCATACAAAATAAGCTAATAGTTTAAATTTCCCGTCAAATAATACACGCCTAATTTTGATCGAGCGATATCCATCGCATCGCGTAACGCCATCACTCTAGGTTGTAAACATAGCCTTACCTTCAAAATACTTTGAAAATATGGTCGTCGTCGAAAACTTACACTGATTCTTGAGTTAGGTACAAAATATTTACCAAGCCAAAAGAACGGTATATTTATTTTGCCTTAGACTTAGAAATATTCACAATTTACACCATTCAATTTGAGAATTTGGTATAAAAAATGTAACTTGTCAATTAAAAAAGACGCACAATGCACAGTTGGGAAATACAGTATTGGGAAAAATAATAGGGACACGAAATTTTGACAAGCTTTGCTCTTGTTCTTTCGTTTACTTAATGTTTGTTGTTTTTTATAAAAATACAGCTCATTATCTAGCAAAAATCTTTTTTCAACAAGATTTTACAAAAACAAGTAACTAAGAAAGGCGTTGATTTTTGATATTTTTTGCTGACCGTGTAGCGGTTTTCTTCCATATAAAAATAGATTGTGTTTATTCGTTATATGGAAGTAAATCCGACAAAAAAGTTCTAAAAAAATCAACGTTCATTTTTAGCTACTTGTACATTCGTAATAAAAAGTTTG